GTGCATCCTGGCTGGGGAGGGCTCCCTTTCTCCCTCAGCGTGCCCCCAGGGTGACCCTCCGAAATCCCTCAAAACACACCTGGGTGAATCACCAGGTAATAATAATACCCCTTTATCCTTTTTCTTATTATCCCCTGCCCTCAAGAAGTGCATCCTGGCTGGGGGTGGGGAGAGACCCTTCTCAGGAGTCGGAGGGGGGGGGCTCAGATACCCTCCTGGCTGGCCCTTGTGGGAGGCCAATGGATTTATTTTTGGGGGGAGAGGCTATGTTTCCGCCAGCCCTCCCTCTTCCACGTGCAGAGGTGAGAACCCCTTCTCGCCATATAATGCCCCCCCCGGCCGCCCAGCCTTCTCTTCCTCTCCCTTGATAAGAGGTTTCTACTCCCTTCCCCCCCCCCACAAAGGACACTCAAAAGGACGGGTGGGTCTCCTCAGGCCCTGATTCTAGTGAGACCCCCTTTGAATCGGACTGGCCTTCCTTGTGATCATCCTGGCTGAGGCGGGGGGGGGGGAGAGACCCTTCTCAGGAATCGAGGGGGGGCTCCTCAACGGTTCCCCCCCAAGTCCCTTCCTCGGGGGGAGCGCCCTGGGACTGGGCAGCTTCCCCCCCTCCCAAGAGGAGGCCATGCAGACGACAGGACGGCCCTTCTTCTTTTCCCTCAGGAACTTTCAAAAACATCATCCAGTCTCTCTCAGCAGCCACAGCAAAGGTTTCAAGATGGCTCCCGCCTTCCTCCCCCCCCTCCGGGAAGGGCAGAGGGGAGAGGGGTGGTCACGTGACACGCCCCCTCTCTCAGTCCTCCCCCCCTCCTCCGGGAAGGGCAGAGGGGAGGAGGGGGTGGCCACGTGACACGCCCCCTCTCTCAGTCCTCCTCCCCTGCCAAGCCTGAGGTCGCTCCTGACTCCGCCCCTCCTGTCCTCTGATAGGTTCATGCAAATCAACTCGTGAATATGACCCTGAGGGTCATGGGAAATCGCCACACACTCATGAAGTTTGGAAACCATTTTCGGGTCACTGGTCCACAAAAAAAAACAACAACAACAAGGAGAAGATGGACAACAACAGAAGAGAAGCCCTGACTTTGCTTCCTTTGTGCCCTTGAAAAACTCGCCATGACTTGGACAACAGAAGAGACTTTGCTTCCTTTGTGCCCTTGAAAAACTCTCGGCATGACTTGAGGGGCACCCGCTCTTCATCAGGCCCTGGCACTTCTTAATCATGAGCAGCTGGGTCTGCTAAGGCTCTTTCTGGGCTGCTGGTATGGCCACTTCCAGAGATTATTGCCTTCTTACATACAGAAGCCCTTTCCTTCTGTGAGATAGCAATCTACCCATATTGGGCATGAGTCTTTTTCTCTCTTGGGCTGTTAAACCTCTAAATCCCTGTGATCCTGAAAATGAGAAGTGCTAACAGTCAAGGCTCTTCCTGATTCCATGGACCAGAGAGCACGCCAGGCCCTCCTATGGCCCTCCTATCTTCCACTGCCTTGTGGATTTGGGTCAGATTCACGTTGGTCCATCCATCTTGTCCTCTGTCATCCCCTTCTCCTCTTGCCCCCACATTTCCCCAACATCAGGGCCCTTTCCAGGGAGTCTTCTCTTCTCATGAGATGGCCAAAGGATTGGAGCCTCAGCTTCAGGATCTGTCCTTCCAGTGAGCACTCAGGGTTGATTTCCTTTAGAATTGATAGGTTTGTTCTCCTCGCAGTCTAGGGGACTCTCAAATCATTTACATTTATTCAAATGCAGTCTTGTCATCATCTTCTGGTGGCTGCAGTTTAATTCTTGCCTTCTTCCCTTACCAAATAAACTTCAAAATCATCTTGTTTAAATCCTCAATGTATTTCTTTTCTATTATAATCGGAACAGAAAAAGTAATTTTCATAGGATAGACTTTTTAATTGTCGCTATCCTTCCTAACATTGCAAGTTTTTTCCCATTTTTCCAAGTCTGTTTTCATTTGGTTAAGTAATTTTATGTAGTTGTCTTATTTGATGGTTGCCCATCTTGTGGTTAAATATATTCCCAGATATTTGACCTTTTAACTATTTGTAAATTTGACATTCCCGATAGTTGGTTTTTTTTGCTTTGCTGTTAATTTTTTTTGTACTAACTTTTCTTTTTTCTTTGCTGATTTTCGGTCCTGCTAGTTCTCCACATTCCTCAATCTTTTCTGTTAATTTTGGTGTTGATTCCAGTGGATCTTCTAAGATAAATACCAAATCATCTGCAAACGCTTGTAACTTATAGCTTTCACCTTTTATTTTTGCTCCTTTAATTTTTGGATCCTGTCTCACATTTCTGTTGAGCACTTCCAGGGTCAATATGAACAGCAGAGGGGACAGAGAGCATCCTTGTTTTGTGCCCTTTTTAATCTTAATGTCTTCAGCCCGCTCACCGTTTATGATTATTTTTGCTGTTTGGTTCTTGTAGATCAGTGATGATGAAACTTTTTGAGCCCAAGGGCCCAAACTGCAAAAGACAAACAAACGAAACACCAACCCAGCAGGTGGCGGGCAGCACTGGGAGTGGCAACGGCGGACGTGGCAGCAGAAACGGGAGTCCCCGACAAGGAGGAGCCTCCAGAACCCACTTTGGATCCACCTCCAGTCATGCCCAACCCCACCACTGCCTATAACTCAGCCGGCCCGCCAGAGCCAGCTGCTCCAGATCGTGGCCCGCTGACTGTCAGGGTGCTAGTACTGCGGCTGTAGCCACCTCCTCAGGTTTGACTGCCGGGCGGGGGGGTAGCAATCCAGCAAGTTATGGCTCACTTGCCCACAAAGAGGGCTCTGCATGTCAGCTGTCACTTTCATGGGTTGAGAAGCATCTGAAAGCATTGGGTTCAAAAGTTAGGACAGAAAAAATGGCTAAAGTGAATGTGGAGAAATGTAATTGCCAGGAAAATACGTTGAGTGAGATTGATTTTAAAAATGGATTGATTTGGATGATAGAAGATGTGGGGGGAAATGTAAAATCTCTGCTCTCTGGTCTCCCTTTGCCTTCCCCCAAACATTGGCCACAAAGAGACCCAACAGGCCATGCATCCAGCACGCAAACCTGCACTTTGCTTTTAAGTGTATTTCCCCTGGTAATTGGAAGAGTAGCCTATGCAAAGCCATTTCAGGCCAATCAGGAAAGTCAAGGGTAGAGAGAAAACTGTCCCTCACAGAACCCTCAGCTGGAGACCCCTCTTGACTCTCTCTCTCTCCATCTGGTCCTTCTTTCTTCTGCCTCTCTGCTTGAATGACATCTGTCTGGATGGAGAAGTGGGGAGGGGCTGGCAGTGAAGATCTGGGGAACAGAGAAAGCTCCTGGCTCCTCAATAATGGCTTTAAAAAGAATTCCCTGGAAAACTTATCATATCATGAGCAATAATATAAGATTATGAAAAAGAATGTTCTTTAAAAGTTCCTGAAAACCCAAACACACAAACACAAACACAGAGAAACAATGGAGAACCTGTTGTTGTTTTTTAAACAGGTACAATTTTATTTAGAATATAACATTACAAAACAGTCAAAGTGAAAACATTAAGCCATCAGTCACTACAAACCGACGACCAGGTAGACAAACAACAAAAGAAAAAAGAAATAATCCACTACTTACTAAAACAATCCCTTCCCTCTTTTTTGGGTCAGAGACTCCAAAATCATTTGGATCTCGAATTTCTCCGATTGATTTCCAGGGAGAATTGAGCACATAAAAAACCAAAATTTGCCCTACACTCCTGTCTTATATCATTACTTTGTAATGGCTCTTCCCTGGTTGGATGGGTTGGCCATATTAAGATGCTTAGATGTCAGTCAAAGTGAAGTGAGGACCCAAGGCTGAAACCTGAAAAATGACGTCCATCAGACATAAGTTTATCAGGACTTCGAGGAGAAGAGTCCTCTCTAAGGAACAAACAGCTTATAATATGTACAATATTCAAGAGATTCCAACTAACAGAAAAGGCATGATGAGAGAACACAACATGATAAATGAATTCAGGAAATTATTTAAAACAAATATTAATCAGCCACAGGACAATATGGATGCATGTTGGATAAAAAATGGATCTAAATAATCACAGTTAAAGGCTGAGATGAACAAGAAACTTACTGATCTTGAAGACAGGATCGGGAAAATGTGTGGCTTTCCAGAGGGAGGAGCAGAGGATGAGATGAATCTCATAGTGGTGAAATGGTACACTAGTACAGAAGGGAAAGGTAGGTGAAAAGAAGATAATGAAAAAAATAATAAGTTAATTTTATAAGATTTTAATATAGGATTTTAATAGAAGCAGAGGACCAACATGATGTTCTTAAAGTGATATGGGGTTACAATTAAACTGAGGTATGGAAGAATATATGAGACAAAAGATGTTTAAAAGTATGTCCTCAGCACCCTTTGGCAGAGAAAGCAGAGAACAGCTGTAGACAACCCACACAGGCATTCAATTGATTGAATTGAGGTCTGCAGGTTAAAAAAAGAAGAATATATTCCCCAGTTCTGTCTACACACAGAAAAAGAAAGCAGTGTCATTCTCTATTCTGAACCTGCTATCTTGGTAAAATGACAGCTAATTACATGGTTAGAAGAAGCCAAGTTACACATCCTCCATACATATCAAGCAGAGTTAAAGGACTGCAATAATTAATGTTTGTAATTAATATGTATGTAAACTTGAAAGAAGGCTAACTGCCGAAGAATTGATGCTTTTGAGTTGTGGTGCTGGATGAGACCCTTGAGAGTCCCCTGGACTGCAAGGAGAACAAATCTATCCATTCTGAAGGAAATCAACCCCGAGTGCTCACTGGAAGGACAGATCCTGAAGCTGAGGCTCCAATACTTTGGCTATCTCATGAGAAGAGAAGACTCCCTGGAAAAGACCCTGATGTTGGGAAAGTGTGAGGGCAGGAGGAGAAGGGGACGACAGAGGACGAGAGGGTTGAACAGGGTCATCGAAGCGACCAACATGAATGTGGCCCAACTCTGGAAGGCAGTGGAAGACAGGACGGCCTGGCGTGCTCTGGTCCATGGGGTCACGAAGAGTCGGACATGACTTAACGACTAAACAACAATAACATAACTTAAGAGAACAAGGAATCTTGTGACACATTAATGACTAGCAAATTTTTACTTGGCTTTTGTTTATGTGGACAGGTGCCCAGTTAGATTTCATTTAGAATCCCTCCCTCCAATCACGTTCTAGATGTCTTTTTCATGGGTTGATTTTATTTTCAGGCTTCCCACGTTTCCCAAAGTGTCCTGCTGTTTTGGAAAGCAGTGATTTGGAGACGTCTTAAGGAGGAATGAAGTTTGTAGTGAGCAAGAAAGAGGGAACAAAATCAAATGTCAGATTTCAAGGTGAAACAATTGCTACATGTTCTGAGGTCCAGTTCCCCTTTCTATGAAAGCAGATTGTCTTTGTCTAAGTAAAAGGCTCTCCAGTGTTCATAAATCTACAGTTTTGTTGCCTGGCTGGAAAATGTCGGCAGGCTGAAATAAAACGCCCACTGCCAGATGGTTTCCGGTGGGTCGGAGTCCTCCTTCTCTTCAGCGAGGGAGAATGGACAGCTGATAAGGCCGAGGGAAGTTGCCGGTGCTGCTCATGAGGGGACTGATGTCGATGTCCTTGGGATCCTGGAGGGGCTTCAGTTTGAAGTGCTGCAGGATGGTGGTCAAGAAGAGGAACAGCTCCATGCGGGCGAGGCCCTCCCCTGCGCAGATCCGTTTACCTGTAAGGGAAACCAAGAAGGGAAGGGAAGCAAGAGGAGGGTCTTCCTCGACAGCTGGGGGGAAACCTCACAACAAGGTCAAGGGGAATGTGGCCTTCCAGGAAGACATCCTCAGACCATTATCTGCAGCCTCTTTTCCACTTATTTTGGTGGAAGGGGAAGGGACTCTCCAGGGCATGGCAGAAGAATAGAGGTATAACAAAGACTATTGGCTCACTTCTTCATTCTGGTCCTTTGAGGAACTGAATTTCAAGCTGAAGGTATGGCCATATTAAGGACAGGGAAAGATCCAGCCTGAGTCACTTTGGAATGGCTTGGTACAGTGGCACTTGATTCATTTACTCCTTCTGTACACATGGGCATAATTCCCGGGGCCCCTTCGGATGTCATCTAGTCAACCACAAGCTGGTGTTAGATCACTCACTTTCAGTCCCTTTGGTTGCCATGTGACCCTCCCTTTCTCACTCCCCACTTCCTGCCTTCTCTCTCTCTTGCCTCCTATCTTGTGCCACATTACTATTGTTGTTTTTTACTTCATTATATTGTTTTTATTCCACTTTTTATTGTTAGCCACCCAGAGTAGACTTCAGTCTAGATGGGTGGGGTATAAATCTAATAAATAAATAAATAAAAATTCTCTGTTGCAATAGCTGTCAGCCAGTAGCCATTAATGCTGTTTTTATGCATAAATGGGGGCGGGTACAGAGTACCATGTTTCAGCCCAATGTTTTCTCCATTTCTAAAATTAATTTTTGCTAAGTGGCATAGCGCTGCATTGTTTCATTGCTGAAAAATCCTGAGTGACTCATTGGCTACTTTCATTTCAAAAATACATTTCTTTTTTTTAAAAAAATTGAATATTTAATAACTACTGTACTATTTCGTCTACACTCTGTATTTCGTCTACAGTGTGTTTAGTCTACACTGAGAGATGTTGAGCAATGTTACCTTTGCACACATGCAGAGAGCAAACCCAGAGGGAATGGGATGATGTTCAAAATGACTGACATCCTTCAAAGTCAATGCCGGAAAGCAGACATTGTCATCATTTTGTGCAACTGGCTCTTTGTGCAGTTTTCCTTTGTATATGTGTAGCTTTTGTCTTCAGCTCCTGTTGAGACCTCCGTGGAGGGCTCAAGCTTTTCCAGGATAAATCAGAAGCGATTTGCCATTGACTCTCACCGGCACTGCCTCCTTGCCCCAAAGATGGGAGATGGGAGATGGGGATGATTCCAAGGACCTGGACAATTGGGGGAGGAGGAGATGAGCCCTTTTACCTGCCGAGAAGGGCATGAAGTAGTCACTCTTCCTGAAGGTCCCATCTTTGTTCAAGAAATGCTGTGGGTCAAATTCTGTGGGGTTTGGAAATTCTTTGTTGTCATACAGCACAGAGATCAGGACAGGGAATATGGTGGTGCCCTGAGGAGAGGAAAACCAAGTACAGTGGGGTCTTGACTTAAGAACGGCTTGAGATAAGAACATTTTGACTTAAGAACCACTCTCATAGGAAAATATTGACTTGACTTACATACTTAGATCTGAGTTAAGAACTGAAAAAAACCACATGGGAGGCAGGGAAAGTGCAAAATTTGAACTTTCAGTTAACTGTTGGCCAGTGAAAAGGGTGCCTGTCTGCTTCCTCACTCCTCCCAGCGTTTAGAGAGTGGATTGGGAGACAGTCTTCGGACTGCCTGGTCCTGGACTGCCTGGACTGTATTTTCCCTGCCTTCCCTGAACCTTTCTTGACCTAAGAAAAAAAGAAACAAAATATCTCCCTCTAGTGGTCGAAGGCAGAATAGCAGCTTCCCATTAGTTTCTATGGACGGAAAAGAGCAGATACGGATCAAATGGTTTTCAATGCATTCCTATGGGAAATGCAGATTTGACCTGAGAACTTTTTGACTTGAGAACCGCCTTCCAATATGGATTAAGTTCTCAAGTCAAGACCCCACTATACTGTAAACAAAATTAAATATGCATGCCAATTTCTTTGGGCACGTCTAAAGAACTTGCCCTTTGGAATCACAAGAAATCCCTAGGGATTCTGGAAAATCAGAAACACAGCCCCGAGCCCTGCTAAGATCCATTCACCTATGTCAATCTCCTCAGTCACGCAGGAGCTCCTGTTTTGCCCTAGAAGCAGAGCCGGTACCTTTGGGATGACGTATTGTCGGAAGGGGGTGTCTTTGGCCACTGAGTGGGGGAGACTCAGTGCGGCGAGAGAGATGAACCTCTGGATTTCGTGGATGAGGGCATCCGTGTAAGGCATCTGCCCGCGGTCAGCTATGCACGGCGCCCTGGCTCGGCCAACCACACGGTCAATCTCTTCATGCACTTTCTCTGGAAAGGGATGGGAAAGGCTCAGCACCAGTGCCCCGACATGCCACAGAAGCCTTGAAATCTGTCCAGGAGGGTTGACCTGGTGGCCAATTGCCCTACAGGCTGGATGATGGATTGGGTGGCTTGGCCTCCTCTATGTGATTTATTTTTCTTCTTATGAGTCCCCGTTCTCCAGCTCTATTCCCCCATCACCCCTTACAAAGAGGCTGCACTCTGAGATGCAGCCCATTATTTCTTCATGGCCCAACAACATATTTCAGATGACAGGTGTTCTTCAGAAGAGTTGGGTGCCTACTTTTATTGAAGGGGAAAACAGATACATGCTCTCTGCTTTTGAATCCTGGAAGCAGAGCTCTCTCCAAATATTCTGGAAGAGTATAGGCATCCTTCAGTCTCGAGAGACTATGGTAACATGCTCTGAATCGAGTAGTGTCCTCTCCAGAGCATGAAGCCCGGGTAAGGTAATATGGAGGATAGGCTGTTACCCAAGCAGCAGATCCCCCCTCTCCACATTGCTGAAATGGTCCAATGGAAAGGCAAGAGCCAATACAACTGGTTCCAGCAATGTCGCAGGAGTTGGCAGAACGACACATGCTGCCTTCGGGACTCCAGCTCCGGATTTTGCCTCGAGGTTAACTCCTGAAGCCTTTTCCATGAGTGGATATAGCCACAAGGCAGTGGAGGTTTGAAATCGGAGTTTTCCTTCTCCTAGATGGGCTGCCTTCCATGGCTGACGAGCCCCACCTACCCGGCCTGCTCTTTAATAGTGCAAAAGTATGATCTGATCCTTAAAACTTTCCTGACTACCCGGCTTATGAAAATCTCATTGGCTTTCCTATTTACCATATTAAGGCCAGATATAAAATTTGAGAATTTCCGGTCCTGGAACACACTCTGGAACACACTCCTGGAACACACAAGAAAAGAGTAGAGCAGGGATCAGCAAAAACAGCTTGGGTGGGCTGCATGCAGCCCTAGGCCACACTTTGCCCACACTTGTTCTGTGGCGTTTTACTAAAATGGCTTGGTGTTTTGTAGCCTGCAGTAGCTTCCACAGCTGAGCTTTCAGGAGGTAGAGGACCTGATAACAAATACATAAACATGACTAAGCTGTGTACGTGACCCATTAGCTGCTTTATGACCACTTGCAAATAATTAAGTTAGAAAGAGAGATAATCTAAGGCTTCAGGCCCATGCTATGCTCAGTATTTAATGAACGGGTTGATTTTCTGACCTGTGCACCAGTCAAGTCGATATGCAGTATCCCATTAGCTTCTCAGTGATCTCAGCCTGAAGACTTTTGCCTGTGGAGAGCGTATAGTGAATTACTGTCCCAGTACCACTGCAGGAACTTGTGCTTAATTTGGTTTGCAGAAGTTGTTCATACATGTACCTTCACGATAAGCTGAGTGAGACGGTGTTGGTACTTTGGACCTTGCCTCTCAAATGGCTTTGCAGTTGAACAGTACTGAAATAAACTCTGCCACACATTCTTAAAAGCGGGGAGAAGTTAAGGCATTCGCTGAAGTTATTCTGCGTTTTTGCGAGTATGTCCTAAGGCAGCGTGTGCAATTTATGTTCTAGATGCAGAAGGAAAATCTTGGCTTTCTTGCTAAAATACTGTGGTGTCTTGAGGTTCAACCAAGTTTTCAGACTCGGACCTGCAGTCCATATTTGCTGTTGCTCAGAAACCTAGTTCTTGTCATTGCGCAACTGAATCTAATATTTGGTCTGTATTAACATGCTACTGTTGGATTCAAAGGAAGGGTGCAGCTTTGGCTGGCGTACAAGCATCACTAATTCCCTCC